CCGCCCAGATTTAAGGAGCTCCCGGCCGGCCGTTTTTTTTTTTTTTTTACTACGGCCGGCCCGGAGGTAGTTAAACCATACATGTTCAGTGCATTTTGAGCTTTGGTCATATATTGAGGTGCCTTTATTTTGGGGGTTTTAAGCATTCAATCACATCCAAAAAATTAACTAAGGTCAGCAACATGCTTAAAAATACCTTTGATTATAAACATCATTGTAATCCTGACTAGAGAAGGTCTTGGAATAATTTTTCTCCATTTAGAATCCACAGTGCTAAAGCACAAAAAACAGGAAATGGAATTAGTCAGTGCGGTTTTTCAGAGTAATGCTGGTTGTACATGTTTATTTTAGGGCAATTATAACTAACTCATTTTAAAAATTGCCATATGTATCAAGGCAAGCCAATGATGATAGGTTACCAAGATCTGTTCAGTCATTTTCTGCATTTGAAAATTGCTGGGTGTATGGCACCATGAGTCTTATTTCTATATGGTAGATATGTAAAGGAGTAAGCAATACTAATATCTTTCACTAGTTATTTAAAGTGAATGTGTGAGGATAGAAATGTGGGAACTCCAGTTCACTAGGTTTTTTAATGTTTAGGTTTGTTTATGCATGCATTGGACTGGACCAAGCGTAACAAATGAAAAGGGGTCTATTTATAAATGTTTTTCTCACAAAATTCACACAGTTTTCACCTACGATTTTACACCTTGTTCTAATTGGGGAAAAATATGCAAATCCTGGGTGAAAGCTGTGTGCAAACATTTTTAAATCAACCCTTAAAGTACAAGTTCACGTTCAGTAAAAGCCTGCTGTGTTGAATACTTGCCTTCATCCCTGTTTGTGTCCTCTGGTCCAGCCATGTGCCGCCTTTCCCTCAAACATCCTTGCTGGTTCTTCCTCCGCAGTCACATGCTGCAGCTCATTCATTCCTTTGGATGAGGCTTTTTCCAGCTGTTGAGCAGGGAAGAAGGTAAGTGACAGCAGACTGCACTCAGGCAGTTTAGTACAAGTTCACTACAAGCCCTGCCCAGGTCAGTGATTCATAAGGTAGTAATTGGTGGCAGCTACTGAGCCTAAACCTTTGAAATCCAAGTTAGCGCCTATTTTTCTGACCTCAAATGTTCACTGTAGACCATTGTCACTTTTTCTTCTTTCATAAAATCAGTTTGTCCATATGTGAAGTTCTGTGAGCGAGATATGTACAATGACATTGCTTACTGCTCCTTTAGAGAAACTGCCTGGCTGTCAAGCTGATCCAGTTCCTTAAGTACTTTAGTCACTCACTTGGAACAAACATGTACCGTAGTCAGTTCTGATTTTACTTGCTGCATGCTTTCTATAAGTGACTCAAATCAATGATGGTTGTCCTGCAATAACATTCTATGCAATTCTTTAAGGGCCCATTCACATTACATCCAGATCATCTCCAGACCAGATTGTTTCCAGACCCAAAATGCATCCTAACGTATCCCTATGCTATTTCTGGCCTCTGTTCACACCAGCGCAGTCTGTTCCAGACTAGACCAGAAAAATACTGCATGTCTTATTGTGTCTGGAATACACTGGAATGCATAAAAACGCATGAACGCACCTGTTTATTAAGACCATTTTAAGCTAAAAAATTTTTAGTTTTCCAATTGCGGTAAAAAGGCAGCAAAACGCAATTCACTGCGTTCCATATCTGGTCCGGAAAGTGGTGTGAACCTGCCCTAAATGTAACGCGTATTTATATGCTAATTCTTCACCGATGTCTGTTTTTGTCTTTCTTAAAAGGGAACACTCAAGGGTTTTGATCAGACAATCAATCTAATTTTGGATGAGAGCCATGAGCGAGTATTCAGCTCTTCACAAGGAGTGGAGCAAGTAGTACTGGGACTATATATTGTACGAGGAGACAATGTGTATGTATTGTGGCTTTAAAGATGTTTACTTAATCATGCACTATATGTGTTTACTTCTACAGCCTTTGAAATGGTGTTTGTGAGGCTGAAAGAGGGCCTTATTGACCGCCCATAATCTGTTTTGGATTACTCACTTCATTTCCCACCATCTTCCATCTAAACACTGGCCTGTCATGAACAGATCGAAAAGAGATGGCTAGGTGTGGGTTTCTGGTAGGAGTCTCCACCATCTGGTCCATGAAATTTTCGCGCAACATGTTTAGAAATCGCCCCGCCTTTGCCGATAAAGGACGGGATGTACAGTACATGTCGCACACTGTGCGGTACAACTCCCTTGGCTATCATGATGTTCTTGGCTGGTTTGGGTCCGTCGCGGCCCAACTTTCATTAGTAGTAAATAAAAGCAGTTTATAGGATCAACAGGCATACACTATTTGAAGAATGTATAGGAATTTTCTGGCTTCTTTCTCTGCTTTGGTAACTCCTTTTGTTTTACCCATCACAGAGCGGTCGTTGGAGAAATAGATGAGGAGACGGACTCTTCGCTGGATTTGGGAAACATCAGAGCAGAACCTTTAAATTCTGTTGTAAATTGACCCCTGTGTAAATAATGTGCTGTACATGATTTTATGCATTCTATGTTTTCTTACAAGCTTATGGGTTTGGATAAAAATCATATGAATTATTGTTAACATGTTTAGTTTATTGTGTATAATAAAATGTTTGTACATTTTTATTTATCAAAAGACTTTTCATGCTGCCATTGGCTGTAAACACCTCCTAGTATGATATAGAAGTAAAAGGGCCAGGAATCCAGGCTGATATTCTTGCAGCTATTGGATTGATGTTCTTCCAGTGGATGTTTTAACATTTAGGGCTAGTTCACACCACAAACAGTACATTCCAGTCCGATTTGGTGCCTGAACGCACTGGATCGCATCCCAGCCGTCTCCCTGCATTCAGAGGTGGGAGGGGGTGTGGCAGTGCATTGCAGTCAATGGTGCAGCAGCCACGCCCCCCGATTCACAAACACTAACAACTGCAGGAGTGTCCTTTCCACACCTTTTTTGTGTTGTGCATACCCCATCTATATCTTGCCTAGCCAGTAAATAATACTGCACAGTTTGTTCTAGTCATCTTGCCTTTTAAACCAATCTTGGAATTTGAGTTAAAATGTCTTCACGCAATAACCCTCTTAGCAAAGATACAACTATTGATGTTGGTTTTGCTTGTGATACACATTACATGTAACTGGTGCCATAAAACCCAATTTAAAAGACGAGGGAGAAAACCAAAAATGGAGCATAGATGTAGGACAGTTGACAGTTCCCTTAATTATCAAGGGAATTTGAAAGTCCATTAGCATGTTTTGTTCCTGGATCCAATTATAGAGAAGATATTGAAACAGTATCTGACCTTAACAGCAAAACAAAGGCTGAATCTTGGAGATCTATTGGTGAAGAATGAATTTTAAGCATCCCAAGAAAGAGTAAAAATAAAAGGTATGTTTAGGTTGAACGAAGAGTGAATGTCTTTCCTCCCCGGTCCTTCACTTTCTAAAAGGTAACCAGAAGATAAAGTAAGCAAGTTTCTAAGCTAATTAGCGTTAAAGGGAGACAGGACTTACACTTACTGGGTCAGAGGCGACCCCTGCTTTTCTGTCGTCTGGATACATGAAGCACCCATTGAGGACTTGAGCAGTACCACACCCAGACACCTTTTCCACCTCGCAGGGCTATACAGGGCCCTCTAAAGACATTAGCATTGTCTGGTAGCCACTGGAACCACACTGGAATGCATGCCAGGTGTGTGATGTTATACATCCATCCCACACCCTATGCATGCACTGAAACAGGTCTCTGGGCCATGTGTGCCAACAGTGGGGCCCGATATAAAAAGTCTAGAGAACCCGCGTCTGTACCTACCCATTAGAGTCCATAATAGAAGTCACCAGCACTCGATGATATGTGCAAGTAGTAAAGCACTTTTTATTCAATCCTTTGGTCACTATGTTGCCCAGAAGAAAGGACCCTGCATGGCCCCGAAATGTTGGCTGTTTGACGCATGTGACAATTGAATAAAAAGTACTTCACTTCTATCACACATCGAGTGCTGGTGACTTCTATTATGCACTGTATCTGACACGGTGCCATCCGTGATGTCACTTCAAGCACCAACCTCTTACTCAAGGTCTGTACGCTGCATGGAGTGCAGGTGATTTTGTATTATCGATTGTACCCATTAGAGCAGTGGTCCCCAACCCGCGGACCGGTACCGGTCTGTGGATCAAATGGTACCGGGCCGCGGGGCTCCGCATCCCCCTCAGCGGGCCACGGTAAAATTATCAAACGTTGACCGGTCCACGGCGATAAAAAGGTTGGGGAGCACTGCATTAGAGGACCCAGCAAATGTAAAAAGAGAATACAAGCATATGCTCCCCAGTGTCCAGCCTGCAGTGGAAAAGAATGGGGAGAAGGCAGCAACACCAAACAGGATGACCTCCAAACAGCCCAGGAGGAGCTTGCATCTGCAAGACTTACCCCTAGTTGCTGGAAGAGAAGACATAGCCGACTACCTGGATCCAGCAATAACCCACCGGCCCGGCTCCTACCAAGGAGACCCCTTCTACAGCTTCCAGTTAAGAAGCGGTCGGGCCAGTAGGTATGGAGTTTGTTTTCTTTTTTGGGACACAAGCTAATCTAACTGCCACCCACTCCAGACTTGAAAAGGAGAGGAAAACACTGAGGTCTTTGAGGAGGAACCCAAATGTATAATTGCCTTTTTCTGTTCCTTACAGGTAGGCAGATCCCTTCTCTTGTGTGTTGTGCAGTCATGGATCAAAGGGGAAAAAATCTTAAAGTTGGCTGTTTGTCTGCTCCCATTCACTTATTTAGCATGCAAGGCTGTCCCATATGTAAACACCTACATACTTCACACATTACAACATTCCCCATGGCTTCTCCTCTGCTAAATGGAAACCATTCATATTACTATTATGGTTTCAGTGAGCTTGTGGCTTGTCAATATATAAAAGGAACTAAATAACGCATGTAGCAAGTTGTTGGATTTTATACCTGGGTTGGATCTCAGTTGCAGAAGATTATATTTTAGGTGGTATGGTTCCTTAACCGGATTGATCCCAATTTAGCGGCATTTCATACAGATGGAATAGGGACACAACACAACTCATGTGGGAAGAAGGTTCTCGCATAAAGGTAAGTCTGATATCTGTAATTCTTGCAGTAGTATTCAATACTTAGACAGGTATAGTCCAGGGAGTAGCGTGGGAAGGTATATTACTTCATACACCTTCAGGAGCAGGCTGAGACCCCCCAATCATACAATGTTAACCTGTATTACCTCATACATGTGTAAAGTTCTCTTGCAGGACGTGCAGACTTTAAGCAGTGAGTCACAAATGGGAGATTAGTTAACCTGAGTAACCCCCGCCAGACATGTTCTCTGGTTGAATGATACAAGGTAATATACAGGTGAAACTCGAATAATTAGAATATTGTGCAAAGTTCACTTATTTCACTAATGCAACTTAAAAGGTGAAACTAATATATGAGATAGACTCATTACATGCAAAGCAAGATAATTCAAGCCGTGATTTGTCATCATTGTGATGATTATGGCTTACAGCTCATGAAAACCCCAAGAACCCCAAATCCACAACCTCAAAAAAGTAGAATATTACATGCAATCAATAAAACAAGGATTGTACATAGAACAATATCGGACCTCTGAAAAGTACAAGCATGCATATGTACTCAGTACTTGGTTTGGGCCCCTTTTGCAGCACTTACTGCAATTACTTTTGCACGATATTCTAATTATTCGAGTTTCACCTGTAGGATTTTACATAAGTCAATACTTGCGGTTAGCGGTGTTGATGGAGGCGAAGAATACCATCTCACAGAGAGAGAGCTGAACATAGCAAGGTTGTAGGATGGCGGGGGTGGAGTGGAAGTATGTTAGAAGTCCAGTGGAGTGGTTCACTCAGAGAGCAGCAGCTTTGTCAGAGATTACTCCCCAGTCAGTAGCAGTAGCTCAATCTTCTTTGTAATAATAAAGAGCAGTGCAGCCAGCAGGATTTGTACTCCAGGGAAGTCAATCTCAAGTGTTAAGTTTCCTGCAAGGCTTCCAGGAAAGAGAGTGGTCCATCCGAATGGAGGGAGATGCTCAGCATCCACAACATTACTCAGACACTGACCATTTCAGAAACCCCGCCTTTAACTTGACAGCCATGTAGAGGGAGGAGGAGCAGCATGAGGACGTGGGAGTAGGCGGCGTCGGATGCTGATCCCAGAGCGAGGACAGGTAAGTCTGTTACACTAAACATGTGCGGACAAAATGTAGACTATTGCATGGTAATAACACAAAAAAAGCCAGGTGATCTGCATAAACCATTTATTTGGTATATACAAAATTGTTATATTTTTTTAAACATTAAGATATTATTCTTCACAGTAAATACAGAAGAGTTCTGTGTAAACTGAAGTCTTGTACCCATTTTTATGAAATGAATGAATAGAAAAATGTCTCATTAAAAAATATTGTTGGTAAGTTTTAGCAATTATGTATCATTCGTCCTGTACTAAATGTAACCGTTTGGACTGATTAACTTAAAACCACATAGTTTCCATAAAAAAACCGAGGCAGTCTATACTAAGACATTATACCAAAAGGTACATAGTACATTCTATCCGTACTACATCTCCGCCAACAGAAGCAAAACTGTACCGTCTCTACAGCAGTGTATTAATAACAATAGTTTCTAGAAAAATACATAGGAAATCTTTCTTGGCACTAACACTTTAGGTAAATACTGACACAGGATGAGCTAGATACAAAATGGATAAATATTGGAATACACAAACAATATACACATGTTGAAAGGAAACGTATTGAACCACCATGAACATAAAGCACATCAAAGACCATACAAACTTGGTTTGGTTTACCTCAAGGGCCACAGCCATAATATTTGTATCATTACACTTGCCATTCAAATGCATCTACACCCAAATTTTTTTTTTAAATTTAGATTTGTATAGAACGGGGAAAGGTTGGAACCCCTGTCAGGTTTCATGACTATCTGGGGATCCATTAGAGAGACTTCCCCTCACTTCCTGAGGTTAACATTTACCAGACGGGAACATTTAAAACTGAGAAACAGACAAAAAGCTGATAGCGGTTCTGGAATTCCCTAACTAAAAAAAAAAAATGACTTGTGTCTGTGTTCCGGTTAGAGAGATTTCCCCTAACTTCCTGTCCTGGAAGTAAAAAAAATGTCTCCAATGAAGGCTTCGACTGCATTGAAACCTGAAGTTCTAATTCATCCCCACATTATCTAAGGCTGGGTCACACCTAGGCGTATTTGTCGCGCGTTTTTACCGCGATTCGTGGAAAACGCGCAACAAACGCCCGTTTCCGAGGGCTACTTGGCTGTATCCCAATGGAAACGCGAGACCAAAACGCCCCAAAGAAATACATGTACTTCTTTGGGCGTAGGCCGTTTTGTATCACGTTCGGACGGGCGGAAATACGGCAAGGTGTGAACCAGAGCCATTGAATACAATGGGATTTAGATGTTTGAGCGTTTTGTAGAGCGTTCGTCGAGCGTTGAACGCGCTACAAAACGTTCAGGTGTGAACCAGGCCTAAAAGAATATGTTTTGGGTATAGATACACTTCAAAATTGGTTTCGGATTTTTTTAAAGTTGAAATGAATAGCCCACATATCATTTTTACAGGTGATGGCAGATTTGATGGGAACCCAATGGCGTTGGTTATCAAGGAATAGCATAATGTTTAACAGATTTTGTTCCCTTTCACTCTGTTTAAAATGATTGCTTTTGGTTCAAGATCTTATTTCTGTAATATAATGCTTAAGAAAATACAATCATTTGGATATAGTATATTTTTAAAGAGTAATAAAATAGATCTATCCCCCAGTCAGTACCCAATGTGAATTTCGTGGATAGCTGTAGGTTGTCTATGCAGGTGATACATAAATAATATATATGCCTTTTTACAAAAATTATTTTACACTTGTTTTGTTACAATACTAAAATCTATAACTTTGATGGAGTTAATGGGGGTGATAGAAAGTCATATTTACTGTAGACGTATTCAGAATACATTTCACGATGCTTTACAGTACCACATGCTAAAAGTCAGGTATCAGAGAGATAACGGGTCGACTGGAGAATCTTCACTCAAATTCTGTGAATATTCATTTCAATTATCCAGTCATGTAAATTCCTGTTCACGTTGAATATACAGGCTTGTGCAGATGAAATATATAAAACAAGAATTTGCTTCTTACATGATTGGATAATTGAAAAGTTACACAACTTATTGTGTGAGAATTCTCAAATCCCAAATGAGGCTGATTTATTAAAGGACTTTCAGTTTTCAGTTTAACCACTTGAAGACCGGGGTGTTATTTCATTCCAGACTTTTTTTTTAGTATTCAGCACTGGGGTACTTTGAGATTTACTCAGTCTTGCAGCACCGTACCAACATGTATTTGATATCCTATTTTTTGGTGATATTTACCGTATTTTGCGCTCCATAAGGTGCACCGGTACATAGAACGCAGGCAGTTTCTGTGACAGAAGCTGGAGTAAGTGACTGCTGAGACAGGTGGCGCTGTGATTACAGCACCATGGTCTCGGTGATCACACAGAGCAGGCGAAGAACGGACATTCTTCGTCTGCTCTAGGTGATCTGAATAGATCACTTGTATTAAACGTTTAGCTCTGCTTTAGCAGGGTTAAATGTACAAAAAACGAGGGATTCGCTCCATAAGACGCACACACATTCCCCCCGCCTTTTTTTTGGGGGGGGGGGGGAAAGTGCGTCTTATGGAGCAAAAAATACGGTAATCACCACTGGGGTTTTTTATTTTTTACTATATAAAGAAAAATACCAAAGCTTTTGAAAAAAACTTTCCTTTGTTATGAAACATGTTTTGTTAGACAATTTTTTGGTAAAATATATAAGACGGGGTCACGTCGGGTAAATAGATGTCAAGCACGTCAAGCGTTCAAATTGTGTGCGCCCGTGAAATCGCAGAAAACTACCGTACCCAAAATTGGCCATAGACTATGCTTTAAAAGTTTTTAACGCTCATCAATTCAGCGGTAACAGTGATGGGCACTAGAATTATTACTCACACTCCGATGTTGGTGGTAATATGTAGAGCAATCGTCGTTTTCGCACGTAGGCGTTTCAGACGCGTGTTAGAATTTGTATGTGTGGGGTCAGGGGACTTTAACTGAGAGAAAAGGATTTTACGGTGAGTACAAAAATCCTATTTTTTTTTCTTGTTTAATTTCTAAATGTGACTTTTTTACACTTAAATTATTTTTATTAGACCCCTAATGTCACCTATGGAGTAGAGATCTGCTTCAGCGATCGCTTCAGCTTTCAGTGATTGGAGTGTGGTTAAATACATGACCATGTGCAGTTGAAATAAGTAAACAGGAATTTGCTTTCCTCATGATTGGATAATTGAAGCGAATATTTAAACATTTACATGTATTTTCTATGCACACATATGGAGTGTTTAAAGTATTTTCTGATGTGATGTTCATATATTTTGCAGTGGTATTAAATCAATGAAAACTGAATTAGAGTAGGCACTAGAGGCAGAGTGGGCTAGTACCAGCCTGATATACCTCTTCATTAACAGACCATTTATTTTACTTTTCAGTGCTGATAGTTTGACTAACAATTATGCAGTCATGCAACACTGTACCCCAATTATGTTAATACCATTTTAAATTATTTTATGTATTTAATTTTATATAATTGAGACATAGTTTTATATTGGTGTTATTTAATAAACACTTTCTCAGTTTTTTTACTGTATAAAAAGGAAGAAAAACTGTATTCCCTACTTCCTGTTATAAAACATATCAAATAAAACTGCTAGTACAGTACAAAAGCCATAAAAATTACCCTTTTTTGGAAGGTAGGCACCCATCTAATTTTTCGCCACCTTCTTTGGTATCTATTTACGGAATGTGACCCCATCTTTTATATTTTTACCTAAAAACAATTTTAGTGTATTTTATTCTAGAAATATTGGTTTGATAAACATTTGGGCAAATATTGCACAACATACAAAATTGCAAGTAGCATTTTTTATTCTACAGGGCCTCTACTTTCAGAAGATATAGAATTATTTTGGGGTTTGCGGTTTTCTAGTCATAAATTCAGATTCTATAATGTGTGTGCAAAAATTAAGAAATTGCTCTGGATGGCAAGTGGTTAAATGAAGAAACAAGAATTTTTATAAAGATCAACACATACTGACAAGATTATTTACATCAAGCTGATCTCTTTTACAGGTGCACAAAAAACCCCCTGAAAACCCTGCAGAAGGTCCCATTTAGATTTGTGGCAGTCTCACTCAACAGTGTTTATGTGAACAGCTGCGGACGGGAAGCGCTATACAATGCAACGAGGGGGGCTAACAGCACCCGCAGTCATTTGCATGTAATCAGACATGCAACGATTACCTGCCAATGATCGCTCCTGAACGCAAAAGGTTTGAGTCAAGGGGCGATCATCTGCGGGTAATCCTTGCATGTCCGATGACATGCGAACCACTGCAAATGCAGTCAGCCTCTTGTTGCTTTGTATAGCGCTGCCCATCCACAGCTGTTCACATAAACACCACTGAATCTACCGGAGGAATTTGCGAGACTGCCCCTAAACCCAAGTGTGAATGGGACCTACATGTATACAAATGCTGCTTGTTGTCAGGTGTATTCACTGGAAGGTGAATGGATCACCTCAACTAACCACTGGTATGTATTATGTATATTTCATTAGATATGTAGTGATGCTTACTAAAATGTAGCACATCAACCGCATTGTGAAACACTAGTATGAGTAGACACTTAGTCAGTAGTAGTGGATCAATGGAAGGAGTACATTAAAACACAATAAATACATAAATAAAAAAAACACTTCATCAAAGCTCTTTTAAGTCCCCAAGTATTTTGAGTGCAAGTGCAATGTGCATCTTTGCAAACCAGATAACTAGCTAAGACAGCATAAAGCTTTTTCACATTAGGAATTAGATACAATTTAACTGTAAACAATTTCAAGTTTAATATATTCTAGCAGTGTTTAAATCTTGTAATTTTTATTTAAGACCTCCAGATACTGCTGTCTTGCTTGGGAAACAAGGTCCTGGTCATTGCTTAGGTTTCTCATGGAGCCAGCTGTTGAACCCACAGGGGAGACTCTGGCGCACCCTGTATCCAGCTCTGCATTTGCTGTAAATGCAAAGTTAAAGCAATAGTTGAAGAGAATTAATAAAAAGGTACAACTTTTAACTTTTGGAAAAAAAATACTCAAAATAACAAGTGGCAAATAAAGAAATCATATACACACGCAGGATAAAGAATGGCATTTTTGTGATATTTATGCAATATTTACTGGGAATTTTATCTCTGGAAATTGGGCCCAAGGAGGGGATATTTTAGTTGATAGGTCTTTCTTGTAAATAAAAGTTTGTACCGATTGATACACTTTGTGGTTATATACAGTATATTTTTTTCTTTTTTGGTCTAACTTTGGAGAAAGTTTAAGTCCGCTAAACAGTTTTTCTTCTTTGGTGGCTATTCATGTATTTGCCACCCAATTCAAATGATGTAACCAACTGGGTAAGCTATGATACAAGCTACCAATTTCCTTAGTATGCCCTAGTAGTAGTATGTAATGCTCTGTTTTCACATGTTGATGAGGGGTCTCATCTCAGACCAGGGATTGGCAACCCCTGGATTGCATGGCAGGGGTGGCACCTAACATCTTTCCTGCAGCATGGCACACCCACCTCCCTAAAGAAAGTACACAGACGGCAGAGGACACTTGAGGCTATGCAAGAAGAAGCCCCTTCACCTCCAGAGTTTAGCTCCCTCCACTCAGCAGCTGTGTATTCTCTGTGTGCAAAAAGCATTTGCTGCCAGTAATCAGGGTACCAAGGCCATTCAAGCGACCACTAGGGGGTGGAATGAAAGCGTTTCAATTGTATAAAAGCAATATGGCCACATACAAACTTGCCAGTTAGCTGAGGCCACAAACCATCATTCCTGGACACAAACTGCCTGGATCCAGGGACGGTCAGAGGCCATGTGAACAGCTCTGGCATCGGCTTTTGTTTTTACAGTGTGCAAATATGGCCACTCTACCACTCTTCGCACACAATGGCCGCATTGCCAGCAAGAATTGCAGGTTCTTACCCACAGCTGTCTGTGTGCATGAGCATTAAGACTCTTATTGATGACACTGTAATTCAGTAGTATTTTTCGGAGTACAAGGACTGCGACATACAAGTGTGGTGTATACACAAGTAGGCTCAGTCTCTATTAGGCCATGCCCAACATTTCACTTAACCACTCCCACTTTTCACCACAGCATGCATAGCTCTCCTTGAGGTGTCCCTCTTTTTCAGGTTCTAGAGTTAGGGGCTGGGGTTAGGGGGTACAGGAGTCCCTGTCAGATAGACTGTACAGGGCCCCATCTTGCAATATCAATTATTTACAAGCAAAAGGTCAAAAGGTCACCTACCCCTGTCTTAGACATAGCAAGTAATTCTTTATTTTACAAAAAATGTGCTACAATGTGTTGCCATACCTTGGTCCAGTTCTTTAGTGATATTCTTTTCAAGCTCCTGCTGCATCTGGAATTCATGTTTGTACTGCTGGTAAGTATAAATAACCTAAAATGCATACTACATACACAACTATACAACAAGGTTTACATTTACTGCAATGCATCCACACTTCATTTCTAATACATCCTTTTTTTAAATGGGATTTAAATGTGCAAACTAGCCATATGGACCTGTGTGGCAAATCACTGTCTGTTGCACTTCAAATCCAACCCCAGCCAAAACTTTTTTTTGTTTTGGATAGAATAGGGAAAGGTTAGGGCATTACTGTATTGATAAAGCAATCATCAGTAAGACAGTAAGGTAACATGCATAGGAGTCTAATCATGAAGTTCAGCCTATACAGAATTTGTTCAAATTTGTGACTTCCAGGGTAACCATTTACTATATCTCTTGCACACTTGAGGGAGCACAGGCATGCAGACACAATCTTGACACCATATGGCACCTATGTGAAACATTCCAGTTTAAGCCAATTAATGGGCATAGGAGAGTGGGGCAAAAGGAAACAACCTGTGTGATTAACCCCTTCGTGACGGGAGACGTACACTGTACGTCCAGCCACAAAGGGACCAAATGACTTGTCACGTACATAAAAATTGTGAAAAGTGTAAAAAAAATAAAAAAATGTGTAAAAAATAAAATAAAATAAGGGACAAATAAATGAATGTATTTATTGCCATTTTTTTAGCTGTGCTGGTTTTGTAAAAAAAATACTACAAATCAAAACTGGGAAAAAAGTGTTTTTTTTTAAACGTTTTTTTCCTCTTTTTTTATATTTTATTTGTCCTAAGTGAGGCGTTAGACGCACATATGTGATATAAATATGTAGCCCTATCTGTCCTCTAAAAAACAATATATAATATGTGTGGGTGCACTTTGTAAGAAAGTATATTACTGACGTGGAAGAATCACACAGCAAAAATGTCAAAAGTGTGTCAGTCATTTACGAACAGAAACTAAAAACAAGCTCAGTCATGAAGGGGTTAAGGGCCCTTTCACACGGCTGGTCCCATTAGGTCCGCCTTTCAGGCAATTCCGATCGGATGCCCAATACAAGTCTTTGGGCAGCCGTGTGTAAATGGGCGAGCGTCTGTTTACACTCTGTTACCCCGGTCTCCGGCCGAGTCCAGAGAAACAAACAGATTAGAGATCTGTTTGGCTGGACTAGATCGTGCCGGATCGGGGGTAGTCTGATGTAAACAGACACATGTCCATTTACATCAGATTCCCCATAGATCAACATGGCGTCCAGCAGTTTCCATTTTTGCTAGGGATGCACAGATACTTTTCGAGTACCAGTGCCGATACTTGGCATTTTCATGAGAACTTCCAGGGTTGCAGCAGTTGCAGCTGGGACCTGGCTCTGGCACTCCACCACTTTCCTGAAATCATTAGTCTGTATTGTTTTAAAAAAACTGTCACATGACAATAAACAAAAATGTATCAGTACTCGTACTTGCGAGTACTGGTTACCAGTACTCGCAATACTGGCATCTGTGCATCCCTTTATTTATAAAAACAAAATCATACATTAAAACAGATGTACAAATCTCAGGAGCTCCTTACAAATGACAGCTGCCTCCAAACATTTGAATTTTCCTCTAGTCGAGTCTTGGAGATCAAAAGTATCGGTACATGTACTCGTGCCGAGTACTGTACTTGGTATCTGTGCAACCCTAGTTTTTGAGATGGAGGACAAAAAACTGTACGTACACAGATGTCATAGCAGTGACATCCGATCCATACTGCTGTGATCAGGAGGGGATCTGTGCACGGATTCTCTCTTGATCAGCCCATGTAAAAGGGGGCCTTACACTCCCCAGAGAGAAGGCTGCCAACAGGTGTCTGCGTCACACCAGTGAGTGATGGCATGGGATCATCACCCAATCTGGCTGTATTAGGGAATTCCTCTCCTCCATTGCAAGCGGAGGTTCTCAGATCACTAGATAACTGATAGAGGGCAGTTGGATAGGCTGGCACACCACAGCTATATCTGGATGAAAACCAGATACAGAGCACGTAGCCTGTTCTCCCTTTAGAAGCATCAAGACTATATCTTTAAGTTTGATGTAGTCATATGATAACTGCTGCCAGCATTAATATTTCTATTAGTCATGAGAACAGTAAATGGGTCAAAATTATAAATACAACTAACCTTTACAAAGTAAGCTCCCATTTCGTTAGTGAAACTACTCCCAACTGGGTTAAGAAAACTCCCTCCGATTCCCAGACTTCGGCTTAGAGCTGGACTACTACCAAGACCTCCAAGGGGACTTGTATCCAAAAGAGGGTTTCCATTTAGACTTCCATTCAAAAAACTGCTTGCAAATAAGGATTTGCTCCTTTGCCGTTCATTAAGTAGCTTGGCATTGGCTTCTGCCAGCCTTTCATTTGCCCTGTAAATATATTAAAGTATTTGTTTGTTTATTCAGCAGTGGTCAAACATTACTTCTGTATTTACGGGCCTGCAAGCTAATCAACAGAACTCACCTTTCCAGTTTTGAGGCCAATGACTTTCTAGTCTTCTGCTCTTCTGCATACATGTCTTTGATTCTATTCAGCTCCGTTAGAGTGGAGTCTTTCTGGCTCATATTTTCCTCCTGTATATTCTTTACTTTGTTTAGCTCAGATTCTAAATCTTGAATTCTATGTTCCAGCTGATTTTTGAGCGTAGAGTCATTTTCAGCTCTCAACTGTTCTAGTTTGTCTTTTGATGCAGCTTGTGCCTAGAAAAGATGCACAGATACTATCAATATCCATGTACTAAGCTTTCAAATAAATGCTCAGTGGGTAAATACTGCTTCTGAGAAAGTATGACATGTATATTTAAGATTACTTGATCTGCATAGTTAACAGTAGAAGTAAGGTCAATTTCACTTGTGTTTCTAAATAACATCTATTTAAAAAAAAACTACCGTATATACTCGAGTATAAGGCCCCATTCATCTTTTCAGCCAGAAAACTGGGCTGAAAATCTCGGCTTATACTCGAGTATATACGGTAATACTGTATAGTATTTGCATTTTATTTCCAGCTATCCCTGCCATTTGTCTTGTTTTTGCAGAGCTGGAAGCTATTTTAGACTTCTGCATTTTTACAGCAACAGATGAGGTGATTCAACTCCCAAAATCTACACAAAAGTTGCACTTTGTAGGCAGTGTCATTAAACTTCTACAAATGCAGTATGCCTCTGTAGTAAAGTAAAACAAATGTCTATATAAACTAAAGGAACAAATGAATATGTAAGCAGTATAAACTACTTTAATTTATGCAAGCGATTCTAAAATGTATACCTGTAGAAATATATTGACCTCTTCCAGCTTTTGTCGTAATTCTTGCCTGCTCCTCTCATCGATTTCTCTTTTATACTGCTCCATGTAACTTTGATCCATTTTGCTGGAGCTGATGTGTCTTCTGAGCTCAGAGACTTCTTCTTCCAGTTGCCTCTTACTTCTTTCTAATCGCTCATGATTCCTGTGCAAAGTCTTCATTGAAGATAACTGTTCATGTAAGTCACGATTTGAAGCTTCAAGCTGAATGTATTTTCGGGATTCTCTATCCAAATGTGCGGAGAGTTCTTCAATCTGAGTAAAGCATCAAAAATGTTAGAAATCAGCAATTAAATATAAGAACAAGGAGGCCAATTGATAAAAAAAACCTAATCTGTCCTAAGAAAATGGAGTTTATATTGGATTACTTCCACTGAGCAGAAAATATACCTTAAAAGGCATAGTGGGAGGTAACACATATTATGCAACCAACCATACTGGCAACCATAGTAAACTGAATAATATACATTCTTCGTTCTGATCCATTTACCAAGGCTTCTGTAATCTGTCCAGTTTTTCTCTAAAATCTGCTCATTTTACATTGGCTTTCATACTGTGCAGTAATGGATCACAAGCCCGATCCAGAACCGCATCCAATACTCATGTTGTTTCAGCCTCTGTTGGGTCACACTTTAGTCACCCAGTAGGGGAGCCACAGATCTTAATGGCTAGGGGCATCCTGAGTACTGTCTGCAGCATTTGGATTAGCACAGAGTGATTTAGTGCCCAGCAAAAAAGTACCTAGCCAAGACTGGTGAGTGGGGCAGAGGGGTATGGATTGCAGGTGGCTTAATGCATTACCTTTTCCTTTAGTTTGAGGACTTCATTGTCTTTTTCATGGTTACTTCTGTAGGACCCTTCCTTTATATGGATTGGCTGTTTTTCACTATTTTCAAACTCCTTCAACTTTTTCCTAGTAGTCTTTAAGTGTTTCTTAAACCTAGTTTTAAGGTATATATAAAAAGGCAGTTAAGTAAACAATCAAACATAAAAGTTATAATATGGTATCAAGTACCCTGAACTCCAAATGGTCTTATGAGTTGGCCCACAGCGTGCCTATGTGCTCCTGCACAGTATAGCTATACCCTCAAAAGAAAACCAAAACCAAAAAAAAAAAAAAAACCCCCAGTTCCTTTACATCTGTATATACTTACCTGGGCTTTGCATTATAGCTACACCTTTCTCTGCAGCTTAGAATCCCTCTAGCCACAGCAAGTCTAATAGCTCAACTGCATTAAAAATAACAAAAAAACAAACCCCACCATCTGACCCATTTACACACCCACTACAAAGAATAGAGGGCCTATTCAATCTTTGCCTATTGTAGCCACACAAAAAAAAACGAGTCTGGTTAAACAGACCTAAAATTCTTTGTATGTAGATAGACATACAGTAAGTATACTACTGCTGCAAAAAAAAGCACGGAGTGGTGAGGCAAAACTCCCCTACAGCAGCTCCATGTACTGATCTTCTCAACCTACCAAATTTATTGATCATTATATTTTTTAGATGCACAATGTATTTCATTTACGGACTTATCCTTAAAGCACATTGATATAAAGATTTCAGTGATATACCCAGATACTTCATGCTGTAAGTTGTTGTTCCTTTTTATTTCCTGATCAAAGCGCTCCTCCATAGACTTCTTCTGATCTAACAATTTCCTTACTTTCTTTTTCTCATTTTCAACCTTAAAACAAATAGAGGGGATGAACAAAGTGAACATGAATAATAGACATCTAATGTAAATACCCAACATTACCTTGTTAGTATATCATGGGAAATATCAATGAAAAACAGTTTATTACACGTTAATAGATCTATTACCACTGGCACCTGGAAAAGATAATGTGACCAAATACTTTCTGAATTGCCCTGCAAATAGTTGAAGAAGATCTTTAACCACTTGAAGACCAGGTGTTTCACCCCCTTCCTGGCCAGGCCATTTTTCAGTGTTCAGCGCTGCGGTACTTTGACTGACGTTTATTCCGTCATGCAGCGCTGAATACTGAAACGAATTTCATACCATTTTTTGGGGACAGATAGAACTTTCTTTTGGTGGTATTTAATTACCACTGGGGTTTTAATTTTTTACTATATAACAAAAAAAGTACCCTTAATGTTGAAAAAAAACATGTTTCCCTATAAAATGTTATGAAACATTTATTATCACCCCAATTCGTTGGTACAATATAAAAGACGGGGTCACGTCGGGTAAATAGACACTAAGCATGTCAAGCTTTAAAATTGCGTGCACCAGCGAAATCGCAGAAAACTACTGCAACCAAAATTGGACATAGGCGACGCTTTAAACGTTTTTACCGCTCATCAGTTTAGTGTTATCAGTGATTAATGGCCCTAAAATTATTGCTCTCATTGCGACGTTCGCGGCGATATGTAACATAATGGGCGCAATCGTCGTTTTCGTACATAGGCGCACCCGACGCATGTTTGCGTGTGTATGTGGGGGGAGGGGCGGGGGACTTTAAATTTTTTTAAAAAAATATATTATTTGTGAGTATTGTTTTAGCTTCTTTATTTTTTAATGCTTTTTTTTTTTTTAGACTTAACTTTATTGCCATCACATAGGGAACTAAGAAATCCCCTATGTGATAGCCAGTTCACCAAACAGGTCCTCTTTATGGAGACATCAGGGGTCTCCAAGACCTCTGATGTCACCTAGGGACCCCCAGAGAAACTGATGAAGCAGAGTGACACTGAATGCAGGAAGTGATGTAATATGCATCACTTCCTGCATTCGGGGACAGGAAAAGAGATCAAACGGAGATCGAGTAATTATCTCCCTTTGATCTGCTGTTAGAGCGTCGCCATGCTGGTCCCAGTCGCAGCAGATTACGGGACCGGCAGCGGCGGCGAGGAGACGGCGGGACATAGGTATGGGGGGGCACACACCCGCAGCTCCAGCAAACGATCGGGCGCCTAGAGACGCGCGATCGCTTGTGTGTAAACAGTCATCGCTGGCTGTTTACATGCTCACAGTTTTCCCTCGTGTGCGCGCTGAGCGATGGGGGAGGGGCAGGACGTCTTAAGACCCCTCCCGCTCCTAGCAGACTCCTGTCCGGCCGTTCACAAACGACCATGGACGGAAGGTGGTTAAAAAAAAACAACTAATAATCTGTAGCCAACAATAGGATGCAACTTACCTGTCCAGCCAAATCTGCATTAGATCGCTCAAATTCTGCCAAGCGAACGCCTAATCGTGATCGTGACTTCAGCTCTTCTTCCCACAGATTCTGAGAGTCTTGAGCACTTTGTGACAGCACAGTTTGCTTTTGTACCTAGATCAATGAATACATACTTCAAAGGTGTCTTATTTAGCAGAATTATATTCTTGCCATAGAATACAATTAAACATATTATTTAAGTGTGCATAGTGCACTACTGTAGAGCTTGATCAACAGACCTGACACTGCTATTTCTCTAACCTATCATCTGTTGTCAGTTAAGTAAATATTATTTTTGCTACTAACCTGCATTATCTATAGCAGAATATAATAAAGTTGTAAACCGAAATCTACTCACCTGCTGGTTCATCTTCTCTTCCATTCCAATTTTTGATGTTTGTAAACCAGTTACTAAATCTTCTAGACGACTCCGAATCTGTCAAACATGTGTGAGAATATCAGAAGTGCACGCTACGTAATGTATGTGTGTATAATTATATATATACACACACACACACACACACACACACACATATACACATACACTAGTATAGCAATCTTCCTAAGCAATGGGGAAAAAGTCTTTCACAATATTAACTGAACGCAGGTGTTATGGATACCCTTCAAAAATAATTGTTACAACCTCCTTCCATTGTAATACTTCAGTACATGGAGAAGTGAAGTGGGAATGACACTATCTATTCTACAAAAGCAATGCTCCTAGAAATCTGCCAGCCTTTATTGCAGCTGTGAATTGCTTTTATTTCTAATGTTATCTAACATTAGAGTTGTGAGCTACTTACAGTAATGGATTCCTGCAGTTCTTTCTGAAGTGTCTCAATTTGCACAGATTGCTGTTTTGCAGTTGCTTCAATCTTGGCATTTTCAATTTCAAGCCTGGAAAAAAAAGACCATACTGTTCGAAGATGGATGGATCAGCCCTGTCAAAGATTTTCCAACAATTCTCTGTGAAAGATAACTACTCTAGAAGGTGAGAAGCATTTGTTATTGTCCCCTAGGGAAGCCTGATATTTGCCCAGTTATTGAATCGGGCCTTTGATTTGAGTTTAGAATCAGGCCATGTATGGCTATCCTAAAAAGGAAAGATTACTGTCAAAAGACACCTATTCCAATCACAACAGTCAAAGGTGGTGCTCTTCCCATTTTGGGGGAACTTTTCCCTCACCTCCTGTCATATCTCCAGGCCAGGAAGTAAAGAGAAATCTCCCCAACTGTAAAACAGAGGGTGATAAAATAGGTTCTAATCTTTCCGACTCTACCCAAAAATAGGTTTTGGCTGGGGACACATTCGAGGTTTATGTTAAGCAAAAAAATGTATTTGTAGTTTTGGATAGCATGGGGAAGAATTGGAATCCTTGTTAGGTTTTTTTTTTAACTTCAATCCAGTGCTCTGTTGGAGAGATTCACCTTAAAGTGACATTAAAGTCAAAACATTTTCCCCTCCCCCCAACGTTAATGTCAGCACTTACCTTAAATGATGTCTCCTAATCCGATCTTCTTCTTACCTGATGTTTTCATCTGTCCCTCCAGCGGTGCGGCGGGTCTCCGATCCAGCGCTGACTCCTCTGTCCTCGCTGGCACTTCCGATCCCAGTGTATGCATGCGGGTGCAGGTGTCCATAGACTTACCTTGCGTCTCTCGTCTCCCGGCTGAAAATCCGAACTGCACATGCGCCCGCCCCAAGATGCTTTACGGCCGCCTGAGCAGTTTCGGATTTCCTGATGGGTGCGCGCGGTGAAGACGGTGTAAGTGCAGCGCTGAATACTGAAAAATGGCCTGGATGGGAAGGGGGTTTAACACCGCGGATGTCAACTGGTTAAACCGCTGTTAAAGCGTTTAAAAAAACAAAAACTCTTTGCATATATCTACTGCTTGCAAGCAGTAGATATATGCAAAAAAACGGGAGGGTTTAGAAACCCTTTAACTTCCTAGCTTTCTGACAACATTTTACCAGGAAAGACATGAGGGGAACTCTCCAACAGCAACACAGACACAAATAAAAATGCTTTTCTTTAGTAGTAAATGGGAAGGCTAAAATCCCTGTAAGATTTGTATTTCTTTATGCTGTCACTTTTGCAGATTTTCATTTACTTCCTTTCTGTTGAAACCGTGGTCAGCAGGACAGGAAGTGATGATAAATCTTTCTAAGAAAGCCCTGTGAAGACGTTAGAACCCAACAGTTCAAATTTCTTCCCAGTCTGTCGAAAACTTGAAAGAAAAAACACATCAACAACAAAATATAAAAACACAAAAAAGTGTATGCTGTGCCTAAAGCATATTGCCAAGTCTTTGCATACATTTAATACAATAATGCAACTAACTAGAACATTAAAAAACTGATACAAAGTAATCAATTACGGTGAAATCAGAACACTTACTTCTGTATGTGTTCTTCCAGTTGTTTGATGGACGTCTCACTGCCAGCTGCTGCAGATGAAAGTGCCTGCACTTTTTGGAATGCTGCAATCACTTCCCTCTCTTTATCATCTAATAAATTCTTCAACTGATGGTTACTCCGCTCTGACTGAAGAAACTGCTCCTCTACATCCTGTACCTACAGAAAGGAACACACAACAATAATACGGTTATCAGAAAATGAATACATCTATGTTATCAGTTCCTGATTAGAACAAAGCCACAAGTAAAAACAAAAGAGCTTTTATATACCTTAGTCCTAAACTTCTCAAGTTCTTTGTGAAGGTGCTGTTTTTCTTCTTCTAGGTCATTGCGATAACGTGTTATAACTTCAAGTGATGCCTCAGACATTGACAGTTTCTTCAAAGCATCAGCAAACTCCTGCTGTAGCTGCCTTATAGAACTCTGTAAGTGAGAAAAAAATATCTTCAGCTTCACTAATAGAATATGTTAGATAATAGACCCGCTGTTTCAGCACGTTTTTACCAAGACCTAGAGATATTTTCCCACAGCGCCAATTAGTTTAAACTTTTAGGACAGGTGTCACGTAATGGATCAAGGCAACCTACCACCAACAGTTTCTGCTGACCCTGAAAAAACCTACATACTTGGTGGTAGAGATTTGTTCCATTCATTAGTGTTCTGCTGACAGGTTGCTTGAAAGGGTCAGAATATTGCTGTATTACCAGCATGTGTTATATCAGCAATGCAAATATAAAGAACAGTAATGTTGTCACATATGTACAAAACAGTGAAGTGTAATATGATGGAATAAACTAAAGTCAGTGAACAAGATGTTTGGTGCTGCTAGTTATAGGACTCGCCAAACTCTAAAGACTTGGTCACATTTGTATCTAATATAATGCCCATTTTAAAATCATCAACTTATATTCAATTTCTATACTACATGGTATAAATTAGTACATTTCTGTTTGTGGCATGTTCACAAAGGATGATTTCCATAATCATAATTACCTAAATACAGGCAGAATATTGGAATATGAAATGCAATCTGGTGATCTCAGACTACTTTATATTCAATAATTAATATGAATGTACAATCTCCATTTGTTTGCTTCATTGAAATGCGTACATTTTCTGTACATGTAGACCAATATATTTATTATTTACTTTCCTTCCGTCACCACACTGGCATCTCCGTCTGCTTTTTTTTTCCCCCCTGGGTTCAGCATCTTCAGCCATCTTGGTTGACTGGCCCAGGATGACTTAACTCCTGTGTGTGGGCACTGGAGTAAATTTATCTTGGCACCAAATCATGCCAAAAATGAACAGTTGTTCACATGCATGGCTGTGTTCATTTAGGACAGGGGTGTCAAACTCAATTTAATCGTGGGCCGCATCAACATTATGGTTGCCCTCAAAGGGCCTGTAAGACTATATAAATGTATCTAATCTTTATCATAATTGCCTCTGCGTTGGATTATCACTGGTTTTAGTAATAACTTAATACCTAGATCTGGAAGTAGAAGTCTAGAAAATGGCCTGGTGGGCCGGATTCGGCCCCTGGGCCTTGAGTTTGACACATGTGATTTAAGAGAACAGGAGCTGGCAGGCAGTGGCATTTTTTTGCAGTAAGGGTTTACATCATGTCACAGTGATCTGATCTCCCAATTTTTGCTTTCACTGACAAATGAGAACTCCATTATTTAACATAAATTTGGTATACATACATTTTTCTGCTACTGACAGATAACAGGTAAGTAGAAAATAAAGATTCTGCGCTGTTTGATCTTTGGTGTCATATCTTTATAGGGATTCAAAGTTCTTAGATGACTTGATATCTTTAGTAAAATAAATATGTAGGCAGCCACTGCTTAAGCCTTTGAAAAGGTTACTCGCCTGGCTGTCAGGCTGATGCTGTCACTTTACTACTTTAAGTCAGTAACCTGGAACAAGAATATATAACAATATGGATTTCTGACTTCGTTGCTACATGCTTGTTAGGAGTTGTTGACTCAGAAGTACTGCCAGACAACTAGTTTTCTTTCCAGGATGATAAAAGTGGATGGGTGTATTTTAAGGCCTCATTTACACTACCAAGAGCCAGCCCCTGTCGGGCCGCTCCCGGGAAGGACAGATTGCACTCATGTGCAGATAAAATAGGTAAACAGGAAATCTCACATGACTGGATAACTGAAGTGAATATTCACTCAATTTATTGTGTGAAGTTTCCTAACTTCTTAAGTCAGTCAATCATCCCTCATGGCTTATGATTTCCCTTGATGACCTGTTCTTCTCAATGGGAGTACGTGGCTGTACGCTCACCCGAGCTGCACATCCATGCGGGTGCAGGTGTCCGTACTCTTACGCAGACAGGATGGATCCTGTCTGCGTCCGAGCACAGACACATGCACGAATGTGCAGTTCGGGTAAGCGTACGGCGGCCTACCCCCATAGAGAAGAACAGGCTGCTGCGTGCAATCTGTCCTTCCCGGGGAGCGGCCTGATACGGCATGGATCTGTACGGGCCGGCTCTTATCAGTATGAATGAGGCCTAAAGCCGAACTTCAGCCAGATATTTAAAAAAAATAAAAAAATAAATGGTGTTGGCTTGATTTCAGCATTCTGAAATCCCCTATACAACGGTACTTAAAGAGGGAGGGGCAACACTTGGGGCCAGTGGGGTGTCCTTCATTTATATGTGCTGACAAGGAACATGGCAACAGGAGGAGATAGCAAAGAGATGGCCTTATTAGTCTCTTGTTGCTCCTTAACACATAAATTCAGGCTGGGGTGGGGAGGTGATCAGGCTGTATTGCTTAATTGCAGTAGATAAATGTCAAGTTACCAACTGGCAAGGCTTTGTAAATCTCAGGGCTGGGTGGACAGAAATACTAATCCTTTTGCAGTTAGAACAGCACCCATTTAAGAATTTCAACTGTGTATTGAGCCATTTTTGCCTGTAGTTGAGCTTTAAGTTAAATACATCATATAAAATAAAGTACAAGTTGAACACAACTATGAATGATAACTGCTCCTGGATTAATGTAGCCAGAGAATACATAACAGTAATGAATAAATGCCTACCTCCCGCTCAACTTTTTCAGTCTCCAGTTTATAAATTTGTTCTCTCTGCTCATTAGACTTATTGATCAAGTCCTTGTTTCTCTCTTCAACTATCTGAACTTGTCTCTCAGCATCGGCGCGCAGCTTGCTATACATATCTGTAAATCTGTCTTGTACGTCGCTGACAACTTTTTCTTTGATAACACCTTTATTCTGTGCATCTTCTAGCTGTAGATGGAGCTGCATGTTCTCGCTAGTGATCTGGGCCAATCTTTCATGCATTATCTCTTGTTTTATACTGCTTTTGTTGGTCTGGTCTTTTTCCACCTGAAGCGATTGATCAAGATCTTTTATTCTGCTCTGCGCTTCCTTCAGGTCCCTTTGAGAACTTTCTAGGAGCAAAGTTTTCTCTTGTAGAGATAAGCCAGTTCTGTGAAGGTCGTTTTCAAGGCCGTTTGATTTAGCTTCCGCTCTGCTAAGTTGCTGGGACAGGTTATTGTGGCTTTCGCGCAGGCCAGAAAGATCATGACTGAATTTGTCTTTGGATCGTAACCAGTCATCACGCTCTCTTTGTAAGGTGCGCTCTGCGTCAGTTTTTGAAATCTGGCTTCTTTCAAGATCTTGTAGGGCAGAATTCAGCCGGGAACGGACTGACTCTAGTTCAGTTTCCAGTCTTTCTTTACTTTGTGTCTCATGCTCCAGCTTTGAACACAGCATGTTTGTCTCCGTCTTTAATGCATTAAGCTGCCCATTGTATTGAATTACAGTTTGGGTTAAAGTTTCCTCATTTACTCTAAGATCCTTCCTTAGATCATCAATCTTTTCCTTCAAGGCTTCATTTTCATCCAAGTATCTACTCTCCTCTTCTTGATAGCGAGATCGTGCTTGCTCCAGCTCTTGTTTATGCACATGGATTTCCTCTTGCAGCGTCATGTTTTTCTGGGTTAATTCTTTCACTTTTACATTGGTCTCAGAGGGTTCACTTAGTACCTGCTAATAAATAAACAATTAGCTTAGCTAGCTAGATTTTCTTACTACCCGACAAAAAACACATGCGATTTTGTCTTCAATTTACCCATATCACAGCACTGACTCTCCTCCAAGCAATGTAAATAGGAGGAAGATAATGTGGGATCTGCAGACAGGGAGTTCCAATCTAACATGAAATACCCCTGTAATATGTGGTCAATCACTGCAGTTTATTCGAGGCCTTTTAATTGTAATATTATTTCAAAATCTTAAAATAAAAAGGATAAATGCACTTTCACTAGAAATATTGTATCTTCCCGGCCTCTGCAGAAAATAAGTGTGAAAAGTTACCTGTTTTGGTGTATAAAAGGTCCAATCCCATTGTCTAGCCTGCCTGATGATGGCACAGCGTTTACTACCTCCAGAGAGGCAACTGGGGGATGCAGGTCTGTGGCAAACTGGCTCACGGGAATAATGGCTTTTATGGCGCAGAACCCTCTAGGAGTTAGTATATATTGCGCCAGCCCCCAGCAGTGGGATCAAACCTTTTTACATTAGGCGGATATCTCTTTTTATCTGTTTATTTGCTGCACAGGCTTGGAAACATGGTAACTATTTTTCTTGCAGTCATCTTTTACTAGCGAAGGTTAGACTCTCTAAATAAGCACGTATTAGCCTTAGTTGCATACCTCAACACTTCTAGTAAGCAGTTTTCTGCTCTCTTCCTCTTCATTCCTCCTCTTTAAGTTATTAAGAGCCTCTTCTTGAAGTAATCTGGCACTATGCTCTTGTGTATATAACCGTTGAGATTCATTGCGTTCTTCTTCCACCTGAAAAAGAAGCAGAAAACTTGTTGAGTAATGCTTCCATTTTTTTCAGAAAAAGCCTTGCTCGACTCCCTAACAAATGCAATTTCACTGGACAGATGATGAAATCACCAACTTTGTAAAGATCTTAGCATCTTCTATGGCTTTGCTTGTATAGACACAACTTTGTTTACAGTGCTATTAGGCATTGTGAATACTTAAAGAGCCTATATAGCAAAATAATAACAATATAACCACTATACTAATTGGGAGAACAATAATTTAGCTATAAACTACAAATCTACAGATACTGTATATTGTGATTGTTCTTATGCTTTCATAGACTCTAGAAATAAATAATTTTCATCTCTATAAAATATTCCAATTTTTCTAGTGAACACAATTGAACAACACCTTTTTTAAGTAGTTGCACAAAAACACTCTGGGATTCAGGATATATCTTCAGTCATTGAAATCATAAATTCAGATGCTCTGCTTCATGTTATCCCATTTTTGACATGTATTACACCACAGCTAAGTGAAATGACTGCACACGTTACAAGGGACAAGATGATCCAAAACATGTCTGTGGTGCGATATACATAATAAATGTAAGAATCATAATTTTTCTTGTTACCATCACCAGACTCTTGCTTGTATAATAGCTTTCCACTGTCAGCTGTAGACAAGACAATATGCCTACTAGGAACGTTTGGACATATCTCAATGAATCCTTCATAAACCTGTATAAAATAGGTAGTGAATGGGAATTTTTTTCACTGCTTACTACTTACTTGGTATATTGCCATCATCTTGGGTAAGGTCCAGAGCAAGGGGTGCAGTAGCAACTGCCAGCAGGTTGACTTGTATAAATATAGATAAGAATATAGGTCCCAGCACACCATGGATCCATAATAACCCAAATGTTTGAACTAATGATTCCATGGTGCGCTGGCAATGTATGTTCTTATATTTCACTGCTTAGTCACACAATAGAACATCTTCAGAAAATTAGAGAAAGAAGGAGCTACGCCAACTGTTCCACATAGTAATAGCCTTTGCCACCTTTTAGCATAAATCCCCACACATACTACAAGATGTCCTATTGTCCCTCTCCTTGTCGTTTGTGACTAGCTTCCCGCTTCCATCCTTTATTGGGCCTATCTGCTCCTTTCTCACCTTTTTACTGTTAATACCTGTTTCATGCTGTTCCTCAGGCTTCTCATTTCAAGTTCTAGGTTTCTTAATGTCAGTTCCAGCTGTTGCTTATCTTCTATTTCACGACGACACTGTTCCTCCTTCCGTCTGAACTGGTCTTTACTCATGTCATGTAGCATTTCTGCACTCTTTCTCTTTTCTTCTTCTTGTTTGAGAGAAGACCTACCACAAAAGATGTAAGGTACTTTAATGGAATGCTCTTTACAAGGATTACTGCAACAGAAAGCTACTAAGACCCATTTTTTGTCTCATCTACCCATGTAGTTCAGTTCAAGGTGGAAAGTGGAAGGGAACCCAATTGCAACTGAGATTACAGCAGTTATTTTATAGAACAGATTTCTAAGCAGCCGCTTGGCTGGAGCAAGCAATACATTTATATATATTAATTTGTCCATTTTAGCAGCCCAATGCATTCTACACACCATGGAATAGAGCACAGTTTAAATTACAATTTTAAAAAAAGATAAGAATCAATCTTTATGCCAGAAAAATGAAGGAACACAGTACACAATAAAATATGTCAGGATAAAGATAAAAAGGACAGCCCAATTAATGTACCCCCCTGAGACTGGACTTTGGTCCTGCACAGTACCAGTGGTGTATTTTGGTTTTGTGCTGCCCTAGGCAAGACTAAACTCAGGCACCCCCGCCCCCATCTAAATTTGCCCCACCCCATCCTGTTTAGGACATTTTGCACAACCTGCCAGTCACTGGATACAGCAAACACGGGGTCCCAAGGGAGCTGTGCATGGTCTCTAGTGGGCTGCACGGGGTCTCGGGAGAGCTGTGCAGTGTTTATGGTGGGCTGTGTGGGGTATATGATGGGCTGTGTAGGGTCTCAGGAGGGCTGTGCAGAGTCCCTTTCCCTGATACATGTGCTGCTCCAAGCAGCCCACGTGCCATCAGTACCAACAGGATACATTGCAGTCCTCCAGCCTGCTTCTGGGACATCCCACCATCAGCTCATATGATATGGCCAGCCCCGAGCCACCCGCTGCTTCCCCTCCACCTCCTGTACAAAGCCAGCCAGACCGCATCTCACTGGGCCCTCCCCTCTACCGAGCAACTCTCTAATTAGGCAGCCACTCTTAGGGCAACTGCCTGATTCTGTGCCGCCCAGCCTCGGCCCACCGGGCAAGTACCCAGTATGCCCAAAGGTAAGTCCGGCTCTTTCCACCTCATTGGTTTGGGGCGGTATTTTCTGCCGCCCCCCTGGAAAGTGCCGCCCTAGGCAAATGCTTAGTTTGCCTTGCAGTAGATACACCCCTGCACAGTACATTGTATTGCATTGTACATTTTACAGGATCATTGTACAGCAAAGTCTGTGCACCTGGGTGTGGGGATGCAGATATTAAACTACATCCTCCAGGGAGTAAAGTACACCTGTTATTGAAAACAAATGGAAATATAAAAGCTGTTGATTGTAAATAAAAAGGACATATGCAGTTATAAAAACGTTAATACTGCAATCATAAAAAAAAAATCACATTTATAATGGGGCCTATTTATAAAAAAACTGGAGAATATACAATACGGCCTCCAGGGAGGAAAGTTATTGTTTTAGGCCAAGTCAGGTTCCCTTTAAATGCAATAAAAAAAAAGGACCTAGCCTTCTGAATTCTTAGAGGTGTAGCAGTTTCTGAAGATGATCAATAAACCATTTTGGTTTATTACAGATGTACATACATTAGTTTTTCTGTACCTACTCTTCAGCTGTTGAATGCACAGGCACATTTTGGCTGTTATTTTTAAGTGTAACTGTAGCATCTGAAAAAAATGCATCCCAGCAACACTTCACTCTGCCCTAGTCTAGCAGTGGTTGGGCAATGTTTATGTTTGCAGAGCTCCAAAGCTAATACCTATACTGTGACCAATACAGCATTACCTCCACCTGCAGTGAGGTTTAAGTACCCAGGGATGCACTCACCTTAAGCCGCTTACATCACTGTCCCAGTCTACTTTGTTGTATTCCAACAAAGACTTAAGCTCTCTGTTTTTTTCTGTCATTTGCTGGAGTTCTTTGCGTTCTTCGCGCAGTTTTTTAACTTCTTGGGCCAGTAATGCATGTCGTCTGTGTTCTTTTTCTATTACTCGTTCATACTCATGAATAATATTTTGAATTTTCAACACATTCACAGAATCTGAGCAAAAAAAAACAAAAACACAACAAACACAGTTATCGTCCACTGTTCGGTATGAAATCATCTGCCATACATTATTCTGTTTTTATTATACTTAATACAATTATGAAAATAATAAATCTATTGCAATGTTAGCAGACTCATGCAGGTTTTTTTTTTTTAAATGCAGCATTTGAACACCTACCATGCAAAAACATAGATAGGCATTATGAATAAGTTGGCTAATAAAACGGACAGTTTCAGTACAGTAAGGCTGTTTAATAACACAAAAATTATTGTATAATAAACATATTTTTCTACATGCCCAGGTATGCCAAGAGAGAAGCGGAGCTGTAGTACTCCTCCCTCACATCCCAGTGTACAATGCACATACCACGGTGACCAAATAGTGGTGTGCATTACATTAATGAGGTTAATGGGGAGTAATTATGCAAACACATTGCTGAGGTGGGGCTTCTGAGGCACATTTCCTGGCAAATATGGTATAAGCAGACACCTCGTAGTTCCTGCTGCTGGACAGTTGTAACAGTGTATTATGGTTCAGGATAGTGAAAAGTTCACTTAAAGTGATATTTAAAGGCTACATGTTACACAGTTTGTACTTCGGATATAAAAGGGCTTATTATGTGCACTGTTTTCCTCTTGGAAAGTTTCCTCGTTCCCAGTTTCAACATGCTCCCTTAAATGCCAGCCTCAGCTTCCGGTTCTAGGGCCCGTTTACACCATCTCCAGTGCGTTCCAGATCTGGGGACGTGCGAACACTGCCAGCTGCCTCCCTCTATATGCAAGGGCAGCCAGACAGTACTACATAAAAAAAGCATAGGGCACACATGCACGCTGGTGCAAGACATGGTGGGACTTGCAGTCCCACTGAATGAATCAGGGGATTGTTAGCAGATCAAGTGTGCACTCTCCGTGACTTAAGGTTTGGGGAAGGGCTGCATGGGAACCCAGAGGTAAAGAAACAAAATGTATTTATGGACAGGTCTAAAAAAAAAAAAGCATTTAATTTCCCAGTCCAAGCTGGCTTTACTAATGCACTCAATGTAAACATTTGTAAGGCTCTCGTACTACTTTAAAAGTCTATACTAGTCCTTTATTTCTGCCTGTTACTATGGCAATGCTAGCAAATTAATCTTTGGAAAAATTAGCTTTGACAGGCTCAAAATGTCATCCAGCACCTCAGAATAGCACTGTGACAACGAACACTTCCACAATCTAACCTCCTTACAGAGGTGAAATACAAAAAAAGCCAGAGGTTTATTAGCACAGGCGGAGAGCCCCATTATCACCTTTCTAAATGACTTTTTCTGCCAAGTGCGTTGCACAAACACAAGGATGGATTGACATACATTATTTGTATCCATCGGAGTGGGCTGTTCATAGAGTGACGACATATGTGTATATTAGAGCTGCGATCATCAGTTCACATCATTTGTGCCACTCCATGGAGGGGCTCCAGGCAGGGAGAAGAGGCGGCAGATTGTGGTGGCTGGCAGCAGCAGTGGGGAGTTCTCAGAATTTTTGTTAATATCTATTTTACAGAGTACCGTCAGGGGATCTGTTTTGGTATAAGTTCAGCTTATAGGAGAACAGTAAAAGCCACCCACGTAAGGCTTACTGACGTGGTCAGCTACAAGTGGTTGTGTTCCGCCATAAGCCATAAGTCGGTGGTAGCGAAATAACTTTCCCAAGTAATTTGGGAAAATGGAATCACCCGCTATACTTACCTTTTTGGCGAATGATCCTTCCCCCTCAGCCGGTACTACCTGTAACCTGTACTGCCATCCAGCTCAGCCCTGCGCTATGGATTTTGCATTTCATTCACAAATTACGAGCACTCATTGGTCGGCGCTTCTTAGCATGGTTAAATACTGTTTTGGTTAAAATTATTTTTGGTATCACACATAGATTGTCAAGTAGATTGGGCCCCCGTTTTAGTCCTTGGACGGGTAGTTTTTTTTTCTATGTCCACACCCCTGCAATAGTTAGTCTTTACTTATATGGTGTCAACCCTTTTTCACAACAGAAAAACTGCTGCTGTCACCTCTAAAAACAATTAGCTAAGCTGACGTTTAATTTGCTTGTCGCTTAAAGTCCATTTAAAACTACCCTGTTCATAGGGTGACAACATCATGATTTTAATGAAAAATTAACAGTGTTGTCACCCTAATACAGTAAGTGAAAAATGGCAGGAAGAGGCAAAATTAACTCAGAAAAATAAAAACTGCTGCAATAATGGCAGAGGAAATTTGAGACATATGTCATTTGTCCTTAGTTTAGCTTTAAAGTAGAACTACAACCTGCTATCTTACAGCCAAGGAAGGTGCCTCGATTTAAATTGCATCGTACTGCACATGTGATCAGCTATGACACCAGCCATTTGAGGGCTTGAATGCTCAGTTGAGAGCTGAAATAAGCACACTGGCAACCTTAAAAGTAACTAATTATGGAGACGCTAAATTGGTAGATAAAGTTTTTTTTTTTTTTTTTTAAGTGTAAAGGTTCAGACAAACGGCCTGCAGCACTTGCCCTACCCTCTCCCCATATCGCCACAAACTTGCAAGTTTACCTGATGCAAGCCTGCATATTTGTAGAAAGATTGAGGCTGGATTGTTCATGCAAGGCTAACTGTCACCAACTGCCTGATGCTTTGGAGAAGGTCAAACAATACCAACTTTCACAACAGTGTGACAGCAGAAGTTGCAGGTAATTAAAGCAAGTTTCCTACATGTACATCTACAGCTATTATAGTATTGTCAGCAGGACACTTTTTAATTACCTTGGCCTTCGAGGTTAAATTGCTCAATCAACAACATGGCATTTCTAAATGAAGAGGTAGGAACTTCATATTCTTCAGATACAGAGTCGGATAATTGTGAAAACTCATCCATATCATCGTCATTGTCCTGAAAACAAAAGAGAAATGTAAAGTATGTATTTCTGCTAATGGCATTTTTGTAATTCCTTCCCCTTTACAGATAGAGAAAACGTCTGTGTAGGATTCACTACAATAAACAAATTATGTTGACATTAAAGCTAGGGATGTCCCGATACCGATGCTAGCATCGGAATCAGGCCCGATACAGGGCATTTTGACAAGTACTTGTCAAAATGCCCCGATGCCTAGCACCGAAGCTTGCGCTATGTTTTTTTTTTCTTACTTACCTCGCCGAGCTTCGCGTCACTGCTGCTCCGGTGGGCGGAGCTCTGTCACCGGACCAGCGCTGACTCGTCGCTGCTCTCTCCAGCACAGTGAGTGAGGACACACACTATTATGGAGTACACACTGCTAATTCAGTGCAGACAATACATTTACAATTATACTCTGCTAACATGAATGGATAAAATGATCTGTATGTAGCCCTGTACTACGGATCATTTAACCCATTCATGTTAGCACAGGATAATTGTAAATGTATTGTTGCAGTGCACTTTATATGTACATGTACTATATACTACATATAGAATGCACTGCAACAATAGATTTACAATTATCCTCTGCTAATATGGATGGGTTAAAAGGATCCATAGTACATGGTATGTAGCCCTGTAATACGGATCATTTAACCCATTCATGTTAGCAGTGCAGAATTGTATATCTATTGCTGCAGTGCAGTCTATATGTACTGTACATATACAGCACAAATGTCCCGTACATTGCAGCAATAGATTTACAATGATCCCCTGCTAACATGAATGGGTTAAATGATCCATAGTACAACTACATGTTATGTACTATGGATTATGATTTATCCTATTCATGTTAGCAGGGCAGAATTGTAATTCTATTACTGCAGTGTACGGGACATATGTACTGCGGATCATGATTTAACCCATTCATGTTACCAGGGGATAATTGTAATTCAATTACTGCAGTGTACTGGACGTGTGTACTGTATATGTACTGCGGATCATGATTTAACCCATTCATGTTAGCAGGGCAGAATAGTGAGCACCTCCCACAAGCTGAGCACCGAGATGCGATGCAGCGATCCTGCCCAGCGCCAACTACGAGAGGCACCACGTGAGGCAACAGGGATCGGAGTGAAACTGAGTGAGGGAAGCTGGGATGGGGCTGGCTGTAAATCTATTGCTGTAGTGTACTGGACGTGTGTAATGTATATGTAGTACATATATACAGCACACACCTCCACTACACTCCAGCAATAGAGTTACAATTCTCAGATGCTAACATGAATAGGTTAAATCATGATCCATAGTACATAAAACATGTAGTTGTACTATGGATCATTTAAAGTCACCTGTCCCTTTAAGAAAAAGTATCGGTAATTGGTATCGGCAAGTACATGAGGGGGAAGTACTTGTACTTGGGCCTGAAAAAGTGGCATCGGGACAGCCCTAATTAAAGCCCATCTCTGGGCAAACAAAAAAAGTACCCTTGTAGTGGGGCTACCCCCGCAGTGCAAAGGTCAAGTGTTTGTTTTTGTCTAGAGAACAGAGATCACAACACTGAAGACTGCATAGGTATAAAAAGCCAGGGGGTAACTCAGACCAATAGCGAAACAACAGATAAAATCTATTATAGTAGATCACCTTTGGATGGACTGACCATTAAATACAAAAACATTTGAAATCAAAATGCATATAATTATACCTTAGAGTTTTCATCAAGACGTTTAGTGGTTGCCCTAAAATGAAGAAGAAAAAAAAAGAAGTATAATGAATGCATTTTATCATAGTGTTCAAATGAAGATTGTTAAGATTGTACAAATTCTTCAAAGAATACACTTCTAATTAATGGATAAACACTAAATGGATTACGTATAGCACCATATCCTATATAGCTTTCAGTATGCAGTGTAGCTGCAGTAAGCGCCTGCAAATTATTTGTAAAATACCGACATTAAACACATTCAAAAACTTCCAACCAGGAAAAAAAAAAGCATCTGGTTTGCAGTGTAAAAATCAGACTCCAGGTGTAATTCTACTTTCACCTGCACAATCAAAGTGGTGGCTGTAAAGGTGCCCATACACCTTACGATGTCAGTGTCAACCCCAAATACTGTGCAATAGATCAACTTTTGACTATCCAGCAGGTTAGAAAACTTCAGTTGATCGCACAATTTTCGCAAGGTTGGTGGCGTTTCCGTACAGCAAAATTTGTACGATTTACACTACTCATGCGCAAACGAAAATACGTGGGGTCAATTACCGCAATTTGTCCAGGTGCTTTTTTTAATTACTGCTGATCCAACCTTGCGATAAATCGGGGCAGGATGGGTCAGATGATCACAAGGTGTATGGACAGCTCAAGGCACACACCTTCTTTCAACCTGCCTATAGAAATCAGCCCACTGGCCCAAGCAAGATGGATGCAACTGTAACCAAAGTCTGGCTGATAAATTTGCAACATAAAGTCATCATAACCTGTCTCCACTGTCATCAAGCATGTTATGGTTCAAATACTTCTTGTTCAAAAGAAAATATTACAAAATCACTGAAAGAGAAGGCCTCAGATGAAGCAGTCTTTCTCTGCTTCTGTACTTATTCTGATATAGTGTTGTCAGCACAACAAAAGATGAACATATACCACTTACCCTCCCTAAACCAAGGCCAGGGAGGAAGAAGACACACATTCCCATCTGAAGCCAATAATTTATGTCTTCATGATACTTTTCTTTCACTGGTGCCCTTTGATAACAACATACAATCAGAAGTGCATATTCCGAGAAAAAGGCCGCCACAGATTACCCGATGCTTAGGCTGGGTTCACACCTAGGCGTATCGAATATGCGTGTTTGTCGCGCGTTTCGAGACGCTACTTGGCTGTATCCCAATGGAAACGCGTGACAAAAACACCCCAAAGAAGCTCCTGTACTTCTTTGGGCGTAGGACGTTTTGTAGCGCATTCATACGGCCTGTAATACGCCCGGGTGTGAACCATACCCATAGGAAATAATGGGATTTCGGTGTTTGAGCGTTTTGCAGAGCGTACGAACGCGCTACAAAACGCCCAGGTGTGAACCGGGCCTAAATCTTCAAGGTAGGTCAATGTATACATTTAGTCATGTAGAAATGTGTAACTTTACCTTTTGCCAGGTTTCTGTGATGTTTCACTAAGTGTACTGTCATCAAATCCTTCAAGCATATCTCCATTCTCGGTACATCTCTGTTTAAAAATCTTCTTTAGATCATCTTGCTTTTGTCCAGACTTGACAGGAAGCCTAACATTTTTCCTGGAGTAAAAGCAAAACGCGAGCTCAGTGAATCACTATGGAAATCCAACTATATCCCATTAAGTTAATTTATGGAAAAGTATCAGAATACTGGCATTGATCACAGAATCAGATTATGTGAAGCATTCAAACTCTGATATTTTGTAGACAAAGCAGAATTTTAAATTAGGTTAAAAATATAACTTTTAACAGTGCTAAAACACTGTGAGAAGTAGCTCTAAAAACATGTTTTTTTTTAAAACAGATGTGGTAAAGGGGTGGGTTTCTTATGGAGATATATCAAGCACCGCTGTTCTTGGAGCTGAACATACCTCTGTATCATTTTATTTGCTGTCAAACATTCTTAAAGTAATCTTGCCACATGTCATAATACTATTAAAATACATAAACCCTATGGTGCGTTTTTTTTAAACCGTTCCTTTTGCTTGAGAGCCTGGCCTGTTAAAGGCAGAGGAAAATCGACAGCTCTAGTAGAAGGACCAACAAACTATGTTATGGGGGGACTAAGAAAACAAAAACATGTAAATATAATACAAGTAATTTTTGTTTTTGTCAATAACTTTTGCGATCAAGCCCTTCCCGGTCTCATCTCTTCATTGAACTGTGAATGTACAGAGCTTCTACTACTCACTAACGCTCCGTTCACATCTGGTTGTCTTTGTGTTTTGCACATGAAGATGCGCATTTTCGCTGGCAGCTTGGGGAGACATTGTGGTCAATGGACAAATGCGTGGACAAACACGCAAAATGCTTCTGTTGCACGTTTCCTGATATTTTCATTGAAAGCTATGGGGAAAAACGAGCTGAAAACTGCCAAAAGAAGCTCATGTACTTATTTCTGTGTTAAACGTTTTGCTGCTACGGTGTAAACAGGGGCCATCGAAAATAATGAGATTTCTTGCATTGGGGGTTTTGAAGCTCGTTTTCTGCTGCTCAAAAACGCGTAGGTGTGAATAGGGACTAACAGTTTAATGACAAAATGCTTTTTGTATCTCAGTGGATAAGGCAGTGTCCTATTTAAGCACATCCTGCTAATGAGCAAAATTAACTGTACCGCATGGTTCAATGTTATACAATGAATTGTGAATTAATATATAAACAATGTTTCATTACTCCTGAAAAGTGATACAATGAAAAGCAACCGTCTCATGTATACCGACATGCCTCTGGCAGGTCAAAAGAAACAGTAAAGAAAGTGTGAAAAGAGAGAAATGACTGCTTATCATATTAAAAAAAAAGTATTCTAAACTGGCCTGGAAAGACGTTAGTACACCTAAAACAGATTATAAATCACTCCCAAACTAATGGTTTTCTGTAATAGTTTTCACACTTGTCTTCAATCTCATAATCAGTTAGTCTGTTTATTTAAATGCAAAAAAGTAGTCAGTCATTCTGTTTGATATTATCGCATGCACCACACTAAACATGGACCAGAAAAAGTAAAGGAGAGAGTTGTTGAGGACATCAGAAAGAACATAACAGACCAGCATGTCAATAGGAAAAGGCTATAAGACCATGTCCAAGCAGCTTGATGTTCCTGTGACTACAGCTGCAAATATTAAGACGTTTAAGGTCCAAAGAAGTGTAGCCGTGGGTCCTCTAATGGGATAATGATCCAAAACACACAGCTAAATGCCCCCATGAGTAGCCCAGATTAAAGAATTGGAATATTTTGAAGTAGCCTTCTATGGGCCCTGGTCTGAAATGTAACAAACATCTATTGAAAGAGCTGAAACATGCAGGCTGGAGGAGAAGGCATCAAAAAAATAGCTGGCACAGTCGGTTTAAGAAAAGTAGGTGGATCAAACTACCTGTTGGCAGCTGCAGAGGTCTGATTTTAGAGCTATAGAAAAATCACTTGTTTGCAGTGATTGCCTCTAAAGGTTGTGCTACAAAATATTAAAAAATCAAATCTTAACCCTTGCATGTGGCTGCCCCTGAGATGCAAGGGTTACATGCTTATTTTGTCTAGGGAGCTAAAACAACAGTTATACCCACCTGAACAGCAATCCTTGCTCTTACTCTGCTCCCTCCTATTCCGCTCCAGCGATAGAATGTCCCTCAGTGTGTTCACATCCAATACACTGTATTGGATGTGATGACTCACAGGACCATAGACCGCTGGAGTGAAGGGAGAGCATGGCTGAAGGGCGTGGTCTAAGAGCAAACTGGGATCATCTATCTGTCCTCTAAAAAACAATATATAATATGTGTGGGTGCACTTTGTAAGAAAGTATATTGCTGACGTGGAAGAATCACACAGCAAAAATGTCAAAAGTGTGTCAGTCATTTACGAACAGAACCTAAAAACAAGCTCAGTCATGAAGGGGTTAATCATGGTTTTGGGGAGTATAACTGCGATTTTAACTACTTAGATAAAACGAGCATTTACCCTTGCAGTGCAAGGGTTAAGATTTGATTTGCCGGGGGTGCTGCTTAAGTTAAGGGTTCCATCATTTTTGTTCATGCCTATTTTATTTTGTTTTAATATTTTGTAATATTCTGTTGAACCAAAGAGCAAAAGCAAAATCTGATTTTAACAAAGAATAAATATTGAGGAATGCCACTCAGTTTGAAGTTATTTCAGAAAAAGAATTTGGCTTTTCTTTTCCTGAAAGGGTACCAACACATCATCCATGGCTGTACATGTAGGACTTAATATTTAAAAAAAAAGAAAAAAAGGAAAACCCAGAAAGATTAAGAAACCTCATTTACATTCCCTTACATATCTACTTACTCTTCATGAGAGCTGGAATTTGATTTTGGTTGAACATTTGATTCTGCTTGCAGCTCACACTCATTGTCAGTGCTTCCTTTTACTTTCTCCAGCTCCAATTGCCTGGTTACATTAGCCTTTTCTCGCTCAACCTGCAACATGGCAAAATTAAATGGTGAATACGATTTGCAGTTTACTATGCACATACAGCTGCTAAAATGAATGCAAAGTGAAGCACACACACACAACACAACACATCAGGACAAAGGATTCTAGCATTTATTTTGAATTAATGGGAATTTTTAGAACACAATAAAGCCTGATTAACAGGAGGAAATTGAAAATAATTATGATTCACAATTAAATTGCAGCTTCAAGAAGATGAGATGAGACAATGTAACTGAAGAAGACACCACAGCAGAAGGACAGTGGAATGATGATGGTCTGAAGGTAAAGATGACACCCAGTATATATCCACAGTGCAGGATCCTTTGAAATCTTTTTCTACAGGACAACAGAACTGAACATTTTTTTTAAATGTTCAGAGAGAAGCAAAGAAATAGGGCCTGAAGAATGCACACCTCTACCTCTTTTTGTAGTTGTGACCTCTCTCTCGTCAAATTCAGGAATTCCAACTGTAGCACTCCTACCTCATTCTTAAATCTTCTCATATCTTGCTCCAATTGGTTATCCAGATGCTTGTTAGGCATGTCATAAGACAAGAGTTGTGGCGTATGTTCTTCCAGCGGAAGATGACGACTGTCTTTAACCTTCTCATTGTAACTTTTAAAATGTTGCACATCACTTTCCTTCATATTTACACAATCAACTTTATCATTAGCTTGCGATAATGCATTGCCAAATTTTTCAAAGTCTGTACTTAATAAACTCTTCCCTATGCCTTTGGTGGGCAATGGAGATGTATGCCCTGAATTATTTTTTGTAGGAAAGTTAGAAACTCCCAATGTAAAAGGTTGCTTTTCTTTTTCTTGTAGATTTACTGTGTTTGAACCTTTCTCACCATGGATAGGGCTAACAACAAATCGTTCCTGCAATTTGCTTTTAGTGTCTTCACTCCAGTCAGTTGACTCGCTATTTCCAAGACTCTTATCATCCTTATCAACACTAACCGGATACATTACAATGGTTGAAGTTCTAGCTCCTTGTCCAAGATGTTTTTCAAGATCCAAAGAGCTAGGGGAAATGTCCTCTTCTTGACTTTTACTAGTCTTAGAAGGACTTTTTTTCTTCATTTTAGATATTTCCCCAAATTTCTGTTTTAGCTCTGCGGTAATGTCTTTAAAATGAGATTTCACAAATTTTTTTTCATGGTCAACCCACATTCTTTCATATTTCTCTTCCCAAGGAAGTTCTGAGTCAAAAAACTCCTGATTTTCATCAGCATTTTGCACATCTGGCAGGTTTTCAAGAGACTGTTGGGAAACCCCCTTCTGATTAATTGGCTCAGGATTCATTTTAAAGTTGGACGTCATTAACATATGCTCATTCTCCATTACATATAGAAATACAAAACAATCAACAAAATGTTACAAGCTGTATACATTTATGGGAACAAAATCACTAAACATTAAGTATTACATAGGATTACAAAATCAGCTTTCAGTAATAGAAGGCCATGAAAAGGCAATGTGTCAGTGAAAGCACAGGAAATACTTTGTGCAACTTTCCTAAGACATGTTTTTGATGTGTGGGTAAGTAAGAGTGATGCCAAAGAGGTGCATATTAACTGGAAATGTGTCCAGTCCCTTGAGTGCCTCAAGCTAGTATATCTTATTTACATATTACTATGCAAGAGCAAAGACCACCAACATCTGTATACTGTGTGTGTGCGCATTATAATAAAAACATATAAAATAAATCACACCGCACACTGTTCACTATTGTCGCTTCCTGTGTCAGTTGAATATTGACACAGGCTAGTTGGCACAGGCTTTTGGCATTAGAGAAGATTTCTAAAATGTCCCATGTGTTGACACACATTTGTAACACTTTAAGCAAGCACTTGACAGGCTTTTTTGACAGCCAGCTTGCTTAAAGTTAAAGTATAGTGTATGCATATAATATCTTCCCCTGTTCCCCCTTCCCTCCGATCAACATTCAATTAAAATTTTCTATCAAATAGAATTAATATTTCTTGAAAAATAAAATTAAGACCGAGAATGATGGCAGAGAAAGATAATAGCTATGAGGGGGTCAAACACAGTAAGGATAAGCAATTGATAAATGACGGAGGCCCTACCGACAGGAGCTGCTGGACCTTTAAACTGTTATATTTTGGAGATGCAAGTTTGCAGGGAATTTAGAGAATTCAGTTTCAACACAGGAGAGGCACAAAAGAAGGCAAGGCTAGGCTCAGGTTTATCATTTCTACAAAATCATCAATCAGATGCTCCTGAAATGCTTTTCAAATGCTATACCGACATTTAGGAAGTGTTTGGGAAACATGTCCACTGACTTTATTTCAGATGCCAGTAAGCACTGAAAAGTTTCAACACCTGCAGAATGTTGCTTGCAACACCCAAATCAAAGCACATTGACGCAAAACAATGAAAAAGCTGGTCTCAAATGGGAGTGCACACATTTACTTACAATTGGAAAACTAAACAACGCATTTGGTAAGTGGTATAACTGCTTCCCATACACCTTGTATACATGTGAACAGGGCAGGAAGGAGTGCCAGCCTCTGTGCTGAGGTTCTCTCTGGGCTTCAGCTTCCAAAGCCTGAAAACATTTACAGGGCTATTCGCAAAAGGGTGAAGAGTTTGGAGAAGGCAGGAGAAGTGATCAATCTAGGCCCTTTATGAATAACCCTGTTAGTATTGGAAGAATTGTGCAATGCAATGAAACCTAACATATAATATCGGACTGCTCCTGTAAAAGTTATTTAAGACATATTTCAGGAAGTGATAATAGCAGTACTGTAAAATAGATTCAAAAAAACACCCTTGAATACATTTGTGTATTTAAAAAAAAAAATGTAAAATTTGTCTGGAGTGTTCACTTATCAATAATAAAGAGCTGCCCAACCCACATAGAATAACTGGGTGATCTATATGAAATGGGTTACTGTTAGGGATGCACCGATAGCGATACTAGTATTGGTGCCGATACCGAGTATTTGGGCGAGTACTCTTACTCGCCCAAATGCTCTGATGCCTAGCCCGATACTTCCTGTATCTAATCAGGAAGCCAGGTGGCGAGTCATTACACGCCGCCTGGCTTCCTGAATGGGACTTCCGGTAATCGGTATCGGTGAGTACTGGAAAAAAAAATATTGGTACTCGTACCGAAATACCGGTATCGGTGCATCCCTAGTTACTATTATGATTTTACATCTCATATTGGATAATAAAAACATGTATTTTAATTGGTGCTATACTGCTAGACTGTCAGCAGTTTGTAGAACAGGGGAAAGTTAACAGAAAACATTATTAAAGTGAAAGTTCTGAACAAAAACAAGAATGCCAAAGCAATAAAATCAGACACATTTTAAAACTTGTGTTTACAACAAGTTAAAAGAACTGACTTGTAATCTGCTGGGAGGCAGACTGACTGAACCAATCTGACACTTTCCAGATTAACAGTTCCCTTGAGCATGTGCATATTGGTCTATCAGATCCGCAGCTAATCATACAACGCTTTTTGAATAAGCAAGCTGGGACGAGCATATAAAAAAAAAAAATATATATAAGATCCCACCAATTCTGCTTTTAGTCTCTAGTATTTAGAAAGGCAGCACATATGTTGTGCCTGAAAACATATACATGGTTCCTATTGCTAGAATTATAACTTACCTTTAGGTAATTCTGATCCTTTAAGGTTTTCCCATTTAGCAAACCTAATAAAATAAAAGCATGGTGTTTGTTAGGTTTTTAAAGAATTTCTCATGAACATGAAATTGTATTAATTTAAAAGGTATTTCCAAATATTTCAAGAATCCTCTATTGCTTACAAAGTTTTAGCTTTGGTTAAAAACTAAACTGTATTCATGGTCTGTTGAATACATATAAGGAATAATATATATATTAAGTAAATGTTTAAGGATTATTACCCACTAGTTGCCCTCTTTTCTATAAATAGACCTGAAGAAAAGGCGTCCGATCTCCAAGAAAAAAAAAACCAGTAGGTATGCTAGGTAGAGGATGGGTACAAGTGGGGCTCCTCTGCACTACAAGGGTTAAATGCTCATTTTTAACCCTTGCAGTACCGTATCCCTTACTCCCCTGGCAACTGGCACTCTCTTCTTTCTTCCAAAACTCTGGGATTTGGGCAGGCCCTTGATGCCCTCACTTACAATGCAAGACTGCTAGTCTTGCATTGTACATTATGCTAGTCTTGCATAATGTACAATGCAAGACTAGCAGTCTTGCATTGTAAGTGAGGGCATCAAGGGCCTGCCCAAATCCCAGAGTTTTGGAAGAAAGAAGAGAGTGCCAGTTGCCAGGGGAGTAAGGGATACGGTGCGACATCAGAGTGCGACTGATGGATAGAGCGAAAAAGGGAAGCCGACAGGAGCACAAATAAGGTAACCAAATATGGTTTTTCATGTTACCCTAGGCAAAAACAAGCATTTATCTAGGCCAGCAAACGAAAGCCGGTTGCCATGGCAATCAGCACCTCCCAATCTTAATTTACTGCCATATTTACACAAATTAAAAAACACAAACTAAATGTGTGTGTATATATAAATCAGTAAAACAGGCTCAGCCAAATCCTAGTTGCCATTACCCACCTTCGAATGTATTTATTTTTTTGGACAATCCCACACTAACAGTACTGATCCATACTTGCATGTACACACAGTACTGACTCTCTCACTCTCAGAGTGCTAACCCATATGCTCTCTCACAGCACTGACCCATATGCTCTCTCTAACTCACAGTACACAGTGAGGAAAAAATACTTCCTGAGGGAATCCCTTTTCTATTAGGTACCATCTGGTGGCTGGTGGAGCAAGTCAATGAAACTGCATATAAAAAGCTCTAATACCTTTTTTTATTGCCATGGTAACTGGGATTTGTTCAACCATAATTTAAACCTTGTAGTGCAGGGGAAGCCCCACTGCAAGGGTAGATACTTTTTTTTTCTTTGTAGATTCCTGGAGTCCAGCTTTAACTACAGTTAGAACATTAAATGCCAAACAATTACTATAAGTTTTATGAAATGAATGTTACCGTTTTTGTTATTATGTGAATCTTGTGAAATGTCCTTGGATTTGCTCTGTATGTCTTTTTTCAGCTGCACATTATCTTCATTGTCATCTTCTTGTACTGAACTTAATGGCATGGGTGGCAAAATTGTTGTGGCTTTTGTTGAAGCACTGTCAAGCAGTGTTTGTGGAGGTGTACTTTCATTCAGCTTATGGTGTGACTGAGCAACACCTCGTGGGGTATGAGATGAGTATTTAAGAGAATGGCTCGTAGAGTCCCAATCAGATGCATCTAAACAAAGCAGAATGGTAAAAACATCTCTAAAAACCTTATCTGGCCTAATGGTAACAACAGTACTGAAGTTTAGACACCCTGTCCTTCCAACAAATACTTGTTTTAAACTTTAAATTGACCCTTGTATACACACATCCTTGATTTCTCTGAGTTCTCTCCAAGATGAAACTAGGTCCCAACCTTTAACCATTTAACTGTTAAATAGCATACTGTAAGCAAGCAGCAGAGGCTCTAGCTTCTGTAAATTGAATGACAGAGGGCAAGGCTTAGCGCAGGAAGGACATGCTGCCTAATCTTGACTTTCAGAAAAATGAAGGCCCTAGAATCCATAGGGCTTCGCAGGGGTCAATCTGAGGCGAGGTTCTTTTTAACGTTCACAAATGGCAACACACTATGATGCAATGGCCACACTACAACTCATAACCTAAGGACACTAAGGCCCATTCACACCTTTGTGTGCATGAACACTTGTATTTGGGGGCGTTGAGGCCATTTGCGTTAAAGCAGCCTATTTGTGGGTATATAAATCAATCATTCAGAGGCTCCTCCACAACTCTACAGCATTTGGGAGGTGTTAAGAAGGGTTTAAAAATGGTGGCCACGTTCATAATTTTAGACTGATTTATACTTTTGTTGTGGTATATTGTGAATAGCATCCCAATGCAAATATACAGCAGGCCTGCACTATAGCACATCACAATGCACATCTGCGAATACTCTGCATTGTGGTGCAATAGGTTGTCAAAAATATTGCAGGGTCATTTCTCTATCGTACACTGAGGGACACCGATTGATGATAATTAAGCAATCTAGGGTTATACTGCCACCTAAAGGATAAATAGACACTAAGCACATAGAAACTGAAAGCTTGCCCCAGCCTAAAATTGTGAGTTTAGCCACCATTTTTAGAGCATTCCAAACACCTAACAAATGCCGAATAGCTGACAGTGTGCTGAGGCATATTATTGTGTCCAGTTTTAGGTAGCATGCTTCTCTAAAGCCAAAAGGTATTACTAATATCTGAGAAAGAGGATAACAGAGATAATCCACCCTAAAGAAACTGTACCCAAGTACTAGATTTTCAGTATAGGGTTGAATTTGAAACACAATGAGAAATTTGTCAGGTCTATGCCACTGTTAGGAGAATATTTTGATGTAAATTCAAATCTGTCCAGCTGTGGGAAAACACATTTAGGGTAGCACCCCGCCTGGAATAAAATATCAGATGAAGGCAGTATAACAGTCACTCATGTTATGATCTTACCCTATCAAGGCACTCCAATTAAAAAGTAAAGGTGAGTATAAAAACACACACACACACACACACACACACACACACACACACACACA